TCCTTTTAAGTTTTTTTTAATTAAAAATATTTCTTTTTAATGTTTAGTTATTTTTCAGAGAGAGAGCGAGCGAGCACTGGAGGAACAGAGAGGGAGACACAGAATCCAAAGCAGGCTCCAGACACAGAGCCCAACATGGGGCTTGAAACCACAAACCAGGAGATTATGACCTGAGCCAAAGTCAGAGGCTTAACCAACTGAGCCACCCAGGCACCCTTTTATTTATTTATTTTGAGAGAGAAACCAGAAGCAGGGGAGGGGACAGAGAGAGAAGGGGAGAGAAAGAGAATCTCAAGCGAGCTCCGCACCATCAGCACAGAGCCCAATGTGGGGCTTGATCCCATGACTGTGATATCATGACGTAAGCTGAAGTTGGACACTTAGCTGTCTGAGCCACCCAGGCACCCCAGGATTTCATTTCTTTTTGATCGCCAATTAATATTCCATTGTATTTATATACTACATCAGCTTTATCCATTCATCAGGTGATGGACATTTGGGCTCTTTCCATACTTTGGCTATTGTTGATAGTGCTGCTATAAACACTGAGGTGCATGTACCCATTTGAATCAGCATTTTATAGCCTCTGAATAAATACCTAGTTGCACTTTCATTTTATCTTTTTTTTTAAAGTTTTTTTTAAAATGTTTTTTATTTATTTCTGAGAGAGAGAGACAGCATGAGCAGGGGAGGGTCAGAGAGAGAGGGAAACACAGAATCTGAAGCAGGCTCTAGGCTCTGAGCTAGCTATCAGCACAGAGCCCAATGCAGGGCTCAACCCACGAACCATGTGATCATGACCTGAGCTGAAGTCGGACGCTTAACCAACTAAGCCACCCAGGTGCCCCTACCTTTTTTTTTTTTTAAAAAAAAACCTTTTTTAAAAATGTTTATTTGGGGCGCCTGGGTGGCTCAGTCGATTAAGCTTCCGACTTCAGCTCAGATCATGATCTCACGGTTTGTGGGTTTGAGCCCCATGTCAGGCTCTGTGCTGACNTGGGGCGCCTGGGTGGCTCAGTCGATTAAGCTTCCGACTTCAGCTCAGGTCATGATCTCACGGTTTGTGGGTTTGAGCCCCATGTCAGGCTCTGTGCTGACAGCTAGCTCAGAGCTTAGAGCCTGGAGCCTGTTTCAGATTCTGTGTCTCCCTCTCTCTCTGACCCTCCCCTGCTCACGTTGTCTCTCTCGCTCAGAAATTAAAAAAAAAAAAAAAAAAATGTTTATTTATTTTTTAGAGAGAGAGCGAGTGAGCAGGGGAGGGGCAGAGAGAGAGGGAGACACAGAATCCGAAGCAGGCTCCAGATTCTGAGCTGTCAGCACAGAGTCTGACATGGGACTCAAACCCATGAACTATGAGATCATGAGCTGAGCTGAAGTTAGGTACTTAAACTGACTAAACCACCCAGGCACCCCTGCACTTTCATTTTACATTAATGCTAACAATATTGTCTCAAGGAGGAATACAAATTCTGAAACTTACCTTAATGGGGTCTCAGATCTCATATCCCAAAATAAACAGAACAGAACTTGCCTCTGTTGGCAATCGATGGCCAGAGCGCATGGGAAACCATGAGTCAGGGTTAGGAGCTACAAGGTTACCACCAAAAAGTCAGGGTTTACAAAGCTCTACGGAGATGGTGGGCACTGTTCTATCTAAATCAAAAGCCCCTTTGTGTGCTTAAGAGAGTCTCCTGTTTTATCCACTCTTACACAACTGCATTCTTTCAGGGCTGCAGTCTCAAGAATTAAGGGGAAATTTAGATTTCTCATCTGATGGGGTATTCCCTATTTGTCATTTATGGGAAACAAACGTCATATACAACCTTGGAAGCCAGCTCCTTGCCCTGCCCCCACGCAGATAATCAAGCTGATGAGCTAGGCTCCTTGATTATTCCTCTCCCCTCCGGAACTCTCCATACGGCTATGAGGGTGTCATAGGGGCAGGTTATCATTCCAAGGGGAATGCCCCACAAGAACTCAACTGCTCACTGCCCTGGAGGCAGAAGCCTTAATAAAACTGAAACCACAAGGACCTCAAGAGTCACAGCCAGTGACCACAGCCACTGGGAAGCACAGTTTTCTGATTATTCTCCATGAGCTGTAGAACAAAAAGAGGCCTTGGAAGGTTTCACTCAAATTGGGAAGCTGAACTAAAGCAGCACTGAGGTGACTGGCCCTTCAGGCTTATAGAAGTTTGGCCAACCTCCCTAATTTGAACATCCTGAGGACTGCATTCCCAGCCTTCTTTTCTATAGGCCAAACTCAGTGTTACGTTACTTTATTTCCGTACTGTTACACTGGGTCTCTCTATTTAGTCCTGGTCGGTATTATTATAAAAATCCAACAGCTTTCTCACATCCCTTTCTATATCCTTTTAACCTGCTGTTGCAGTTGTTTCCTCTGGTCTACCTCTGGAGAGAGTTAGGAATTCAAAACAGACTGTTCCTAAAGGAACCTGAACATTTGGCCTCCTTTATTCAGGGCTTCTTGAACCCATGTACAGACGTGGAAACCATGCACATTGTCTCTCTCTTTCTGTCACACGCGTGTGTGCGCCCACACACACACACAAAGATATATATCAGAGAAGTCACTCTAAGTATAATTCATATTTTAGAGTCACAGGGCATGCTGTCACCAATCCTTGGCAAAAGCAGAAGGGTAAAAGCCAGGTAGGTATATGTACTGTAGACTCGCTTCTACCAATTCTCCCTTCCCCCTGCCCTGACTACAACAGACGTGCAGAGGCTGAGGATTCTCCAGCCCCAATTACTACAAACCACCAGACACATGGCTAGAGGGCCCCATAACCAGCTCCAGTGTAAGGAAACAGGTAATTTCTAGGAATTTCAATCTAGTGAATAAAATTAACTGGTAAAAGGTCTTACATTTTGTTACAAACCTTCCGTCTCTCAGTGAATGGAAAAAAAGGACACTGAGCTGGGAATCCAGAAACCTGAGACTCAGTTCTAGCTCCATAAGTGACCAAATGTGTGACCTTGGGCAAGTTACTTAACCTCTCTGGGCCTCAGTTTCCAAACTTCACAAAAAATGAAGCATCTAGGGCTATATAAGTTCTAAGGTGCTCTACAAATTACATGATTCTGAGGTTGAGCATATAAAACAAAAATATCTAAATTAGAGGGTAGGGGCACCTGGATGGCTCAGTAGGTTGAATATCCAACTTCGGCTCGGGTCACGATCTCATGCTTCGTGGGTTTGAGCCCCAGGTCAGGCTCTGTGCTGACACCCCGGAGCCTGGAACCTTTGCCTCCTGTGTCAGATTCTGTGTCTCCCTCTCTCTGTTCCTCTTCCATTCGTGTTCTCTCTCTCTCTCAAAAATAAATACACATCAAAAAATATATACTTAAAAAAAATAAATTTGGGGGTAATTACGTTATAGAAGGTGCCCTGGCCTATCACTAATTGACCTTCCTCTCTGCAGGCAACTTAACTTAAAAAAATTTTTTTTAAGTTTATTTATTTTTGGAGAGAGAGTATATGAACAGGGGAGGGGCAGAAAGAAAGAGAAAGAGGAGGGGGGAGGAGAGACAATATCCCAAGCAGGCTCCACACTGTCAGTGCAGAGCTCAATGTGGGGCCTGAACTCATGAACCATGAGATAATGACCTGAGCTGAAATCAGAGTGGGACTGCTAAATCCACTGAGCCACCGACGTGTACCCCCACCCCTTAAAAATTTTTAATGTTTATTTATTTCTCAGAGGGAGGGAGAGACACAGAGCATGTGTGGGGGAGGGGCAGAGAGAGGGACACACATAGAATCGGAAGCAGGCTCCAGGCTCTGAGCTGTCAGCACAAAGCCGGATGCAGCGCTCAAACAGGCTCAAACTCATGAACTGAGAGATTATGACCTGAGCCGAAGACAGATACTTAAGGAACTGAGTCACTCAGGTGCCCCGCCTTTTTTTTTTTTTTAACGTTTATTTATTTTTGAGAAAGAGAGAGAAAGCACATACATGGGACAGCAGAAAGGGGGGAGACAGAGAATCCAAAGTGGCCTCCACACTGACAGCAAACAGCCAAATACAGGGCTTGAACCCACCAACTGTGACATCATGACCTGAGCCGAAGTCCTACATTTAACCGACTGAGCCCACCCAGGCGCCTCAACTTTCTTGACTTTTTAAGTGAAAGGAAGTGGTCTTTTCTCTCTAAGCAGCAGAGTCCTTAGACTGCAGTCACTCCTCCTCTTAGAGAAATTACTTCTGAGGAACTCAATTTCCTCACGTGTGAGATGAGGGGTTAGGCTACATTGTCCCACAGGTTCTTTAATTCTAGAATGCTGTGAGCCATACTAGATTTACCACAGTGGGGGGAGGGGAGGGGTTGGTTGATTTATTTTTTTTCTTTTAGTCAACTCTATGCCCAACGTGGGGCTTGAACTCATGATCCCAAAATGAAGAATCCCCTGAGATCAAGAGTCACATGGTCTACTGACTTGAGCCAGCCATGCACCCCATCACAAGGGATTTTAAAATTAAAATTCCTTTGGTATATTTTAATTGGTTCAATTTACAAAAGAATCCAGAGGGCACACTTGAAGGGAGATCTACCAGGCCTCAAAGGCCAGCAAGGACCTCCCACTCAGTCACCAGCACTATTTGTGTGGTTGCCCCAAACCTCATCTTCATCCTCCATACACAGCCCCCTTGCCAAAAGAGACACATGTGAAAAAGACACATGTAAAAAATACAAGGACACAATCCTTGTCCTCAAACTAAGGTTCAGGCTTGAACCCAATGAGTATACAAGATATAAAACACATAAAAAACATAAAATTTACTACGCAATTTTCCAAGTGAAAGTTAATGGTTACTGTAAGACATAAATAGGCAAAGAACAGACTGATGTGGGTTAATCACAGAAAGCTTTATGCAGAAGGATTTCAAGAATCAGGTTTTCGAAAACAGAGGGAACCCAGATAGGATGAAAAGAGACCTGAATTCTGGAATGGGATTCTGAATCAAAGCTCTTTACCTTCCAAGTGTTGGGGGGTAGGCTCCCTGTTTACAAGGCTCCAACCCCCTGATGCCTCCACTCAGTGCCACTCAGGAGACGCTCCCAGTAACCCATCTTGTTGGCTATTCTCCGACTGAGTCTTCCTTCCTAGTGACAAGCTCCATCGTCAAGGGGATGGATGTGATGTCACAATCAGGAGCACTCTATTAATAGGAACAAGGAAGAAAAAGGTGAGTCAGGGGAACTACCACCACTTGGCTGTGAGACTAGACAGACTTGGATCTGGCAGTTCATTGAGGAGGAGACCTTCCTTCCCATGAAAGCCTACAGGTTTCAGAGCTGAGGACACAGCACTAACTTCTAAGGATCGAGTTCACTGGCTAAGGAATCACATGCACACAGTCCAGGAGATTCAAACCTAGCTGAGAGAGGCCGAGAAAAGGAAAAGAAAAAAAATAAAGAAGAAGCACCATTTGAGACAGAAAGATTCTCTTATTCGGTGCACACAACCACAAAAAAATGTCAATGATTCCAGATCTGTGGCTATACAACACAGAGGTCAACACCTTACATGCACAGTATGATGCTTTTATGTTTCCCAAATGCTTTCACATAAATTACCGAATTCATCTAAAAAGAATGCTAATCCTGCCCTCCAACCGGAAAATACTATTTCATAAGAAGATACTCAAGAATGTTCATACAGGTGTGATTCTACTTCCCAAGTCAGAAAATATTCTTTTTTTTTTTTTTTACAAATAGTTTATTGTCAAATTAGTTTCCACATAACACTCAGTGCTCATCCCCACAAGTGTCCTCCTCCATGCCCCTCCCCCCTCCCCCCCACATCCATCAGTCCTCAGTTTTTGTCAGCATTCAAGAGTCTCTCATGGTTTGCCTCTCTCCCTTTCCCCCACCATTTCCGCCCTTCTTCTCCCCTTTGTTCCTCAGTTAAGTTCCTCCTAATCCTCCTATACGTGCAAACATATGATATTTGTCCTTCTCTGCCTGCAGAAAACGTTCTTGAGGGGATCAGTCTTCATTAAAAGGGGTGGGGGCCAAGGGGGTGCCTGGGTGGCTCAGTGGGTTAAGTGTCTGACTTCAGCTCAGGTCATGATCTCGAGGTTCATGGGCTCAAGCTCCGTGTCAGGCTCTGTGCTGACAGCTCGGGGCCTGGAGCCTGCTTCAGATTCTGTGTCTCCCTCTGTTTCTGCCCCTCCCTTACTTGCTTTCTCTCTCTCTTTCTCAAAAATAAACACTTAAAAACAATTTTTTTTAAAGAAAAGGCAGTGAAACAGGAAATTGTTCCAGATTAGGCAACTGGAAAGACTAGAGGTAGCAGTATTATTATTAGGCAGACTAGACTCTCATTACTAAAAGAATGGGACCAAGTAAAGGAGGACAAGGCTTCAGATGAAAGGTGCTGAGAGATCTACTCAATACTACACAGGAGCATAGCAACTATTCCAACTCCTCTCCTCACCATCACCGGGCTATCAATAGACTAAGGGCTGTGCTACAAAGGAATAGGATGATGATAATTTTTATACATAAAACTGAGACTATTTCATCTTCTGAGTCTGGCACACACGCTCATTAGTTTACTATGCTAATCAGCCACAAAACATCTTAGCGTGGCATTTTTAAACTAACACAGAGATAAACATGCAATGCCAGACACACTTTCTCTTTGGGGGCTTGGGGGTAGGAGTTGTTTCTCCCTCATCCATAACACAGAGGGGAGTATAACGCTGCTTCCATTTTGACAACCCCCTATTGCCCAACAGCCTGATAGATGCACCTGTACTTCACGCAATGCTTCCACAAACCACTGCTGTTGGCTACGCTCAGTCTTCTACTGACAAGCTCCAGACTCAGAAACCAAACTGTTACCCACACTAGGAAAAACAAAAAGCAAAAACCAATCTTACTTTGATGCTCCCTTAGCCAGAACAAAACAGGATTTTTCAACTGAGAGGAGGACCAGGAGTCATGAGACTTGGGTTCTGGTCCCAGCTCTCCCAACTGTATGACTTTAAACAAGCCATGTATCCCTTCTGTAGTATTTAATGTCTTCACCCAACAAGTAGGGAAGATACGTTATCTACCTTATATGTCGTACTGGAAAATCAAAGACATAATAAATGTGAAAACATACTGAACACAGCTATATTTCAGGTAAGGTATTTGTAGTATGCAAAACAAATTTAGAATACTGAAGGCAGGTAAGGAAATGCTTGAAAGAAGCGTGTTCCTTTTTAATTACTAGGAACCAGGCCCGCCACAAAGTCGGCTGGACACACAGGGTAGTAACACTATCACATCACTCAGATTCCCTACCACTAGTCTACCCCATTCCTATCTGGGGGGAAACTAGCAGCCAGCAACACTATCAGCTTCTTGTCCTATTGTCAGACTCTAAAACCACCTGTATAGGAAGTGATTAGAATGTCACTATCACAGCCCGGTCCCCATGAACAGTGGGTCCTTAACAGCCACATTTGCGATTAGGGGGAATGAAGTCAGTTTCTGAATGGGGAAGATGTCTGTCAGTCCCTCAAGCAAAACACTCTCACTTCTCTTAGCTTTCTGCTGCTTCTCCAGCCCCCTCCTCCCCAATCCCCAATTTCGCAGAGTTCTGAGTTGAGGAAGGCTTTCTGGTGAGTAAAGTCTCCGTAAAGGGCCTGGCTGCGAACCCAAGGAAGGGATGTAAGGAATGTGAGATTCTTTCACGGAGGGATGAGGGGGGGAGAGGGAGGGGGGAAGGCATGGAGGAGGAAGACAAGGCTGCCAAAGACAAGGCACGGGAGAGGAGCCAAGCTATGGCGCTTCGGGGGCGGGGGTTCAGGTTCCGCCGCCCCTGCCCAGGCTGGCCCCCAGAATGCTTCCTTCCTCCCCCCCAACCCGTCATCACTGCCCATTTAAACATTACGATGTAACCCCAGGTCCGTTCTTCCCCGTCCTCCAGCCAGCCCAGACCCCTCCCGCACTTAAGGCTCCCCTACCCCAATGGACCTCCCCCGCAACCCACCCTCCAGCGCCCCTTTCTCACCTCCCGACTCCTCCCTATCCCTGCTCCTTTCCTCCATTTTTCATCTTTACTCCTATCCCTTCTCCTGACCTCTAATACCTTGAATCCCCGCCCCAATCCCGGTGGGACATCACCTCCTCCCCTCCCACACCCTCTTTTAGGTGGGAGCCGGCGCAGGCGCAGTACGCACCGCCCTGGAAGCGGTCTGGACTCTCCGCACCCCGGCCCGGTTGGAGCTGAGGCCGCAGCGGCCACGGGATAGCTCGGGTGCCGGGTCCCAGCCTTTCCTGGGAGGGGAAGGGGAAGGGGAAGGAGAGGAAATGTTCCAACCACTCGTCGCCGTGTGAGACGGATCCCTTGCCCCGCCCACTGCTGCTACGCAACCCGGCGGAATCTCGTCACCAAACTCCGCCTTTCAGTTTAACTCGGACCGAGACTAGTCGCCAACCAAAAGCGACCAACGAGGACGGAGGGTTAGCCGGGCCCCGTCTCTACACCGGAAATCTTTATGATCCCAACAAGGACTATATAGCCATTTGGGAGGGAGAACTCTATGTTCTTCCCAGCATGAATACTGGGGGCGGAGCCGAGGCTGGCTCCTGGGAGGCAGAGACTTCGCTTTGGAGAGGCGTACACGTCGCGTCTCTTAAAGTTGATGCGGCGAGGTGCGATATCGTCGCGAGGAGGCTGGCCTGCAGTGTGACCTGCCATCTGCTGTTTTCAGAGTGGTGGTCTGCATCTCGGAGTCTCCCGACAGTATGACTTATAAGTTACGGGAGTGGATACTGCGACCACCGGGTGGAGAATTGGAGTGTCTAACCGCAAAGCTTTGATCTAGGGGGCCCAACAGGTTCCTTGCCTATCTCTTAGCCGCACTTCTGTTGTATCTACGTTGGCTCTCCGGACACTCATAGAGTTCCCTGAAGCACCTAAGTGCAGGGAAGGGAGATTAAATGTCCCTCTTCCTGGGTTGTGCTTTGATTTCCTTAGGATACAACACCGTAGTTGGGTGTGGGCGGGAGAAACCTGGGGTCCGAGGAAAATCAAGGCGGAGCCTAAAGCGCTCTAGAAGGTAAGGAATTAATCAAGCCAAAGCATTACAATTACATGACCTCTTAAGCTAATCTGATATTAAACGGTATTTGTTATGGATAGTTGCAAAACAAATGGTAGTGCTTCGTACATATGTAATTGGTTTATACACAGCATTACAGAACTAGAACCTTTTGTTGATTTTCAAATAAGTCCCAGGGGGAACTAAAGGTTTGGGCCTCCTCTCGTTAAATTCTCTCGGGCCAGAGAGAGGAGGTGGGCGGGGCCTTGGGATCTAGTGAGGTAAGAGCCTAAGGAAGAGGTGTCTTTCAAACTCTGAGAGGGACTAATGCAAATGCTCTTCTCTGTGCCTCGGGTTACATTCTTCCAAAAAGGGTGTCTGGTGTGAAGTCCACTTTTTCCAAAACTCTTGACCGAGCTGGGTCGTGCATTATAAATGAGGACCCCAAATCAGGAATAAAGATGAGCTATAATTACAGCAGTGGGAAAAGAAAGTGTGTGCTAAGCACTGCTTTTTATGTAACTTATATTTTCTTGTCTGCAAAATGCAATTACATATTTAAGAATTGTCAAGAAAACAAGTGAAGTGCCGAGCCTGTTTCAGATTTTTGTCCACCGAATTCCAAAACCCCTGGTCCTTTCTCCAGCGTCATGTCTTAAAGAGAGACAAAATCTTAAGAGCTTTAGGTAATCCTCCCAGTCAAGCAAAGGAAAACCGAGGCTCGAGGCGCCTCCTGGTGGTCAATCTTTCTCCTGGCCAAGCCAACCATATACCAGGCTCCTTTAATAACTAAATTCCGCCCCTTTTGCGGCGCGTGAATCTTGGATCCCGGTTGGCTGGGCGGGGTCCGGCGGCTGGCGCGGGGTGCGCCGGGACAGTGCTGATTGGTCGGAGGCGGCCAGCCGGAAACTTCCGGGAATGTCCGTACTCCCGCGTTCCACCGGGCTGCATCCGGCGGCAGCGGGGCCTGTGGCTCCCCCTGCGGGCGGCTCCGCTGTGCGCACTGTCCGGCTGGCGGGCTGGGTGGGTGGTGGGCTGTGGGTGGGGGGAGGGGATGGACCGAGTCCTGGGTTGTCCGGATGAGGGTTCAGGAAGATTTGGCGAGTAAGATTCCATTCCTTGGGTCTGCACCAGTTTCCCTACCCCCGTTTCCGTCGGCTCCCCGACTTCTGGGCTTGAGACTGAAAGAGCATCCCAGGACGGGGCCTTCCAGTCCCAAAGCAGCCCATACAGGGACCCTCAAATTCTGATCTTGAAGTTAGAGACTCCTGAAGAAGTTGGTTTAGAACCTTTTAGAAGAATTAAAGGATTTGCGGCTGCCTGACCCCAGCCTAGTGTGGTAGGTAGGCCTTGGGAAGTGGAGCATGGGGGCGAAGACTCCAAGCCTTGAGCCTTCATTCCCCTTTCCCCCTTCTAGTGTAGTGCCGAGGCTCGGGCAGCATGACGACGGAGACCTTCGTGAAAGATATCAAGCCCGGGCTCAAGAATCTGAACCTCATCTTCATTGTGCTGGAGACAGGTGGCTATTCTGGGATGGTGGGACCCCTGCGCAGGGTTCCCAGGGTTGGGGAGGGGGAAGCAGGAGGGGAAAAGCACCACCTCCTCTCTTAACTAGCTATCTGGATGTCAGGGTGCACCCCGAGACGCTGTTTGCTCCCAATCTCCCTCCTAGACCCTGGCCTGGAGAGTTGTAGTCGAGTGTAGAGTAGATGGAACTCACCAGATCCAAGCCTCCAGCACCACTCAGGCTTCTTTCCACTCAAGGGCCATTTCCATGATGCTGTCTCTCCACTCCCCCTCACCCCACCCATATCTAGATCTTATCCCTCTGACCCTCTCTTCGCCCTCCACCCCAACATTTGTCTGTACCCTCCAGGCCGAGTGACCAAGACGAAGGACGGGCACGAGGTTCGGACCTGCAAAGTGGCTGACAAAACGGGCAGCATCAATATCTCTGTGTGGGACGACGTGGGCAATCTCATCCAGCCTGGAGACATCATTCGGCTCACCAAAGGGTAACTCCTGGTTATTCCTGGCTATCCAAGGCTAGTAACCGTCAAGGGGGTTAGAGTTAACAGTCCCTATTACTCTTCTGAGTACTCTGAGTCCTGCTTTTTGTGACCCCACAGGTACGCTTCAGTATTCAAAGGTTGTCTGACACTATACACTGGACGTGGGGGTGATCTGCAAAAGATTGGAGAGTAAGTGTTTTGGAGATTGGGATGCAGAAGCACCAAGCAGCATAAGGGTATCCGGTCCATGTCTTGTATCTGGACCTTTCTGAGGCCTCAGAGGCTGGGTCTGAGGCTTTAGCCAGTTTCTCCCTTTGCAGATTTTGTATGGTTTATTCTGAGGTTCCTAACTTCAGTGAGCCAAACCCAGAGTACAGTGCCCAGCAGGCACCCAATAAGACGGTGAGTCCCATGGCCTTGATGTGGGGAAGGAGGGCAGGTCCAGCCAAGAAGCATGGTAGGGAGCAAGGTCTGAGTATTTAATTTGTGTCTTCAGGTGCAGAACGACAGCAGCCCTACAGCTCCCCAGCCTACCACTGGACCCCCTGCTGTCTCTCCAGGTAAACCTGTTCCCTTCCCTCTACTGGTTCTCTCCCCAGCATGGAAAGATGCATTGCCATCATCCTTCTTCCCAGTTTCTCTTCTCTCCATGTATCCCCTTCTACCTAATTCTCCCAGTTCTTTTGCAAGTCTTATAGGGAAAAGATTTGGGGACCTGTTTTTTTGTTTTGTTTTGTTTTGTTTTTAATTTTTTTTGAGAGAGAGAGACAGCATGAGCAGGGGAGGGTCAGAGAGAGGGAGACACAGGATCTGAAGCAGACTCCAGGCTCTGAGCTGGCTGTCAGCACAGGGCCTGATGTGGGGCTCAAACCCACGAACCATGAGATCATGACCTGAGCTGAAGTCAGACGCTTAACGGACTGAGCCACCCAGGCGCCCCGTGGGGACCTGTTTCTATCACTGATAGAGCTCTGGCACTCTTTTGCCACTACCACTCAGGGACACAAATGAGAACAGTTTCTCCCCCAAGATTGTGCTCCTTCATTCAAACTTATTTCCCTCTGCTTCTCCTCTGGCAGGTCCTTGCCCCTTTCCCGTTGCCCTTTTGATTTGTTACATGGCTCTAACATGGATACATATGCCTTAACATGCAGTCTCCGCTGTACAGAGTTAGGGCACCAAGTAGTTTCCTTTTGGGAGTTATCACTCTTCTTGAAACTAAAGACCCTTCTAGCCCGTGGGCCTCAGGATTATGATTCTTCTGTCTCATATACTGCAAGACCCTGCTTTTTGGTCTTTTGCTTTTGGTTAGAATCACCCACCAACACCACCTCCTTTGTCCCCTGGCTTCTCTTTAGGAACCAGGTTTTCACTGCTCTTTTTCTCCTTCTGGGTCATCTTCTAGCTGACCCTACTACTGCCTGGGTATGTGGCTCTTCCTGCCTCTGATCTGTGACTTAGGTTTCTCCCTGTGACACTAGACTTCAGGCTGCTTCGCCCCTTGCTCAGTCTGTGTCTACATCCCCAGTTACCATGGTTTTCAGAATTGTTTGCGTCAGAACCACCAGGGTCATGGTTTTTTTGGAAACACCATAAAATAACATTTAATTCCATCATAAAAATCAGCATCCATATTTTCAACGAAAAGCGTGACTGTTCCATATGTCCAGGTCTCCATAACTATAATTTATAAAAAAAAAATATTTTAAATAAGGTACATTTAAGCCTGTTGGCTCCTAATACTCATTTGCCAGATGTTTGTTCATTTTGTTATCTGGTAACAGGTACAAAAGTCTTAATAAAAAGCATATCTGGCATAACATTACATTAACTCTCTGTATACTCCTAACTTTTTCTGTGAATTGAGGAAAAGGCATTATCTTTCCGTTTTGGCTATAGATATCTTAGTCTGGCGGAACAGCCTGGGTCCAAGCAGAGAGGTGGTTTGAGAATCACTAGCCTATGACTTCTACCCCATTTGGGGTTCACAGTACCCTCTGTATAGGAGAGGCAGGCCTCTGTCTTCATTTGACAAACAGATGAGGAATGCCAAGGAATAAAACACAGCACCTGCCTTAAGGAGCCTGTAGTCTATGAAGGAGATAGTCCTACAGATGATCACCCTGGTAGGGGTGAGGGTGGTGATGTACACAGTCGTTGGAGCTCAAGGAACTCATCTCACACACAAACGTGTAAAATATATACCAAAATGTTACTTATTATTTGGGGAGTGTGTGTAATTTTTTTTTTTTTTTTTTTGCTTATTCCTATCTATATTTTCCAAAATGAAAATGTATGTATCATTGTGATACCCACCACACTTTCTTTTTTTAAAGCTTCTTCTTACATTCTAACACAGAAGCTTTGGGCCCTAGGCCTTCCTATGCTTCTCCAG